GAAATTGTAGAAAAACGGTATCCTTACGGTGGTAAAAACTAGAACATACTTTCCGTATACAGCTACTGTAATGCATCGTTAACGACCATTTACCTCGCTGTATACGGTACGGGCAAATATGGTCATATTACTGCCCATGTTAAAACAGGGTAATACAGCGCCGTCACCAACTCCGTTTTAACCCACCTGGGTAGAGAACTCCATGCTACACCGATATCCAAAAATTGCTTTAACTCAAGTCAAATCTCTTATTACTATTTATATTTGATCAACTGATTCTGTACAGCTAATAATTGATAATTTTTGGACTAGTCTTTAAATAACTTTTTTATATCGATTTGCTAAAAGAAATAAAAGCTATGTGGTTTATTTGAATGTTTTATTTGGTTTTTATTTAATTCTCTTTATGCTTGCTACATTTTTTCATTTTCTTTTCACAAGATCAAGCATAGGCGGTGTTGTTTTACACAGAAACCACATCTAAGTTTGTCATATTGTAAACTCATCCTCAGTTTCTAGTTGTCAATTGTGATTTCTAAAAATAAGAAGCCTTTCAAATCCAATCAGTATGTTTATATTGTGTAATTTGTGGTTTCATCTCACATAACGGCATGATGACTTGAAAATTTTTAGCTATTTCAAAGTGATAACATGATAGATTTTACTATTCAATGATGTTTTAAAATACTATTCTAGAGAGAAATATAAGTTGAATCTAAAATATCTATAATTTTCATGAATTGTTAGGTAACTTTAAACACCTGTTTCATTGCAAAGTCATGCTTTCTTATCAAAGCTCGATATGCTGATGTCATCGACTACTCTATTTAATCATAGAGTCCAATACTAGAAATTTATTCTCTCATTCTTTGAAACGGACGAACAATTATCTAAAGATAGTTCCAGTTTTATGTGGAGCAGACGTTACGTTTTTATAGGAACTGATGTCAGATGACAATAATGAACATATAAATATTGTTGTGTTACTGTTACGAAAAACATTGATTTTTTCTGTTGTGTTATGCATCCTGATTCTTATGTTTATGAATATAAATAAATAGCAAGCGTGCAGAGTCTGCTGGTAAAAATAAGAAACTTCTCCCGACAGTAAATTGTTTTCGTAAAAATTTCCCTGGAAATGAGACCTGGGTAAAATTAGCAGCAGACTCGAGTTTTTGCCGTCCAAATTCGTTCCTGCACTTGAGTTAGGTACGAAATTTTACGGCGAATCTGATGGTGTAAAGATCCAGGGAGATCATCAAGCAGAAACTGCTACTTGACCTCAAAATACTGTATTTTGCCCAAAATTTTAGAAGTATTTAGTGTTGGATTGGCTACGTTACTTGAATTGGGTCTAAAAATGATTCGTTAAGACACAGTGTGAAATTCTACATCGAGTGATATCAATTTAGTGCGGGATTCTCGAGCAAAAACGTTTTCGTCTCACATAGTCGCACCCTCATGCAGACTCCTCGCCCTCACTCACATGAAAAATTTTTGCTCGATGACCCCATACTAAATTGAAAGCACCCAATGCAGAATATCACTCTGTATTTTACTCAATTATTTTTCGACCCAACTCAAGTAACATAGAGAATCCGGACACCAAATACTTTTTAAAAAATTTGGAAAAGTACAGTATTTTGGGGTCCAATAGCAGTTTTTGCTTGGTGATCTCCCTGGATCTTTACACGATCAGATTGGCCGTAAAATTTTGTACCTAATTGAAGTTGAATCAAATATAACTCAAGTATAGGAGCGAATCTGGAGGATAAAAACTCAAATCTGCTGCTAACTTTGCCCAGGTGAAAAACAAGTGGTTCGAAAGTCACGACTTGTCTTCTTCGCCCTATGACCCACTACTGCGAAGTCATAGCATTGCATTCTGTAAAATTTCAGAATTCTACAGCCAGTAATCACCATAACAATTATTGATTATACCTATCAATTACATTCTGAATGAATTTTAATTTACTATAGAATTCATTTGTGTATTTTACTTGTAGTTTCAGCTTTAACATCCTGAAGAAATGTTCTTACTAATCCTTTACATAGCTTACTTTGAATATTCGCAAAAGATACGATCACTCTCAAATTAAAAACTAAAATCCACAAATACATAAAGGGTCTCGAGACGAGTTCATGAATACCCAGCAACGAAAGTCAATTTTCAAAGATTAGATCTTTGCTTTCAGAAGGGAATCGCAGTACGACTTAATGTTTTGGAGTTGATGTTCGTTGCGCTCAAGTTTTGAATGCTCGTGGCAAGCGAAAACCAGTATTTTAAGGAAAAATATTTTTTAATCAATAGGTACTTGGAATTCATGAACTCATTTCAAAACGTTCTTTCCATTCCGGATATTAGTTTCTAGTTTGAAGGTATTTTTGTGTCTTCTCACCATTTGTAAATAAACTCTTTATTTCACGATGAAATAAAAGTAACTCATCTTTACTGTTTCTTTTTATTGTTCTTCTTTTTATCAACAACAACAACAAATCTCTTATCAGCGAATATACATTTTTTACACAATGACTGGCAATAATGAGCAGAATATCGCCTTCTTATGGTGTGTGTGTGTGGACGGACGTACAGCTGTGTGGATTTTGGATGTCGCTGTGAATGTGAATGGGTGTGCGTGAGTGTGGGTATCATTAAACAAAGACTCCTACTCGCATCTACACTCACACCCATAGGTTAATCCTAAATATATTCGAACCGTGAATGAGGCATGTTCACATATTCCCTGTATTAGACTTTATCTAAAAGCCTGTTAGAATTATAGATGAGACATTCTACTATGTCTTCATGCAATAAATCTTTCAATATTATGTGTTTTATAAAAATTTAAACATCGTTCCACGAACTTTTAGTTAGCTTCAATAAAATCTGAAAAACACGTAGTTTTCAAAAGTGTAAATATGATCACGAACAATGACTTTTGGTTAACGAAACATTTATATACCAAAATTCCATATGCAAATGAATTCACTGACTTTAAACCACTTTTTGAAGTAAACAGATTCTGATCGAGGAAATCTACGAGTGCTACAATGGTTTATAGAACCATAGTAGCGAATGAAAATGAAAAAAAATTAATCATCTTCGTGAAATGGATAAAATGTGCAAAAGAAGAAGGGTATGAGTGTGGGTGTGGGTGTAGGTGTGGGTGTCTTTTTTACTATCAACACCCACACCCATACCCGCCCTCGTAGATTATATGTAAAAGCAGCGACCATACTTCATCCTATTGAGCTGTTTTCGGAGAATCCATTGAAAATGATAAATTCAAAAAGTCTCGCACTACACAATTGTTTCTTTTTATCCAAATAACAATTCTTTTTTCTTGATTTATTATTTGTACTTTTTATTATTTTGTTATCAATACAAAAAAAATTTCATAATAAAGAAAAAAATTGAATATTTTAATGTAAAAAGCAATTCATCATGGACACTATTTAACGATAACAATCAAAAAGGAAATCAAACCAACTTCCACAGGTTCGAGTTCAGTTCGATACCTGACAAGTGCGGTATTATCCTGTAAAATTATTTTAGATTTTAAATTTCTGAGAATTTTTTTAATGAAAAGCATAAGTTAAAACTCAACAATACAATCATCAAAATGCTTGACTTCATAAAAAATAAATCATAAATACCGAAAATCCGATCATCAGTAAAGAATATTCTGTAAGAAAATGATCGCACCATATTCCAGTTACATTCTAAAGATACTAAAAGGCTTGTAAACACATTCTAGAATACTTCAAACATATTTAGATTTTACTTTAAATTGAGGACTGTCCAAGGACTGAGAATTAGGAATTCCTCCTCGGTTCCCCTACAATTCCTTGCATACTAAAGGTAAAAATATGGAATATTCATGATAATTTTTGTTCTTACACCCATTTTCACCTGCGAAATTGTGAGAATCAATAGTCCCGTGCATAAATTATTTTTTAAAAAAGCAATATCAGGACTTTCGTGAATAATGGAATTGTGAGAGAACCAATGGTCGATTCCCATTTTCTCTAGAAATTATCACAGCGGCACTGACAATTCCTCGGCAGATTAGGAATTCATATTTTCCAGTCCTTGGACACTGCTGGTAAAGTGGGCGTGTCTGTAAGAGGAGGCGGGTGAGCCGCAAAACCTTGAGGTTAAAACTTACACTCACTGTTTTCTTCAAAAATATACGTGAGTTCCACAGAAGTATTATATTTGCTTCGACAACTGGATAAGTTTGGTTACGAATTCGTTCTTAGTTTAATTTTAAGAATCAACTAGAAATCTTGTCACTTGACGAGTCCCTTGAAGAAGGATGGCATTACTTGTAGTAATTTATATGTAGACTCTTACATTTTCATCATATCCTTTACCGTATCTTGGCGATGTAATGAATGAATAATGATGATGAAATGAACTACATAATGAATACTTTATTGTCAAAAAAAAAAGCGAGAAAGAACAATCCATGAAAGAGCTCGAAAGAAGAATGCTGAAAGAAAAATAAAGATCAGGAAAGAAAATCACAACATCAATGATAGTTGTGGTACGATCACTAACACAATGTCAAAAAGAAAAATTGAAATTGCAAAAAAAGAGAAAATAAAATGTAAAATATATGCTATATATAAAAAAATCAAAGAACGCAAGAGCGAAAAAGAATAACACAAAAGGAAAAGAGAATCATCATCGATTCATGGTGACCATCGAAAAAAGAGCACAATGGACACTAAAGAACGATGAAAAGAACTCAATAAAATAGGAACATGTTAGCTTCATAGAGTGACATCTGTTGATGTTAACATTATTGATTATATATGCCTACGCTACTCCGGTACTGATATCTATTTTTCATCTACTTGCAAAATGTTTGTTTCCGATTGATTGGACAGATGGATAGAGAGGGACAGACAAAAATTTTTGTTTCCTGGACTCTTTCTTTCACAAAATCAAATTAAAAATCTTGATGTTAATGTTTTATTATAAATGGATTGTTTTATGCTGGACACCAAGCACATTTCCAAGGATTAGTGAAACCATTTAAAACGCTATCAGTAGGAAATGGATAGAAAATTCTATAAAGACTAATATTCAACATGTTTTGCATATAAATTGAGTCAAGTGTTGGCATTTGGTTTGTAGGTTTTGCAGCAGTATCATTTAGCATTGGGTTACTATATTTCCAATTGCTGTAAATAATATTTGCAAAACCATTAAGAATAAATGGTTGTGCGGATGAAGCAGTGAGTCTATTCTGGCTATCAATAATACGCATTGCTCTCATCATATCATCATCTTCATGAATCAGATTGTGACAATGAAACATATAATCACCTTTATGAGCACCAAATCTAGCTATTACATAGAGCCTATCTCCTTCACCCAAAAACATTACATCTTTTGGTGATAAATATTCAAAACTTCGTAATCCAGTATCGCCTTCACGTTTAATAATATAAAAATCTACAAGATGCATGTGTACAGGATGAAACCATCCAGTACCTGTTTGATATACCCAAAGTTCCCATGTATTTTGTCCAATATCTGCAGCAGCAATTCTGAACGTATCCCAGGTTTCATTATTAATTACCCATTTTCCATTGATTTTACTAAAAGCCATTTTTCTATGAAATCGACTCTCATTTGCCATTTGCATTGCTAAGTTAATGTCTGAAGCATATAGGACTCGTTTTATTGGATCCTCTGGTGTTGTATATGGAAGGTTTTCTTGAAATACTGGCGATGAAGCATTAGTAGCTGCAGATATTTGAAGTTGTCCAATTAAATGACTATAACAAAAGAATGGTACATCTTTCATGAAAATATCATCTTTATGGTTCCACAAAAATAGAGTTTGACTTCTTAATGCTGTAAAATCCCACACAACATCATATCTTTCAGCAACACCGATTAATAATCCTGTTTCAGGAAATATTACAGGTATGTCTCTAAACCCTCCGTCAGTTCCAATAATTTTGCATATGTTTTGTGAAATATCCTGAAGTGCAATATTTTTTATTTTTAACAAATATGGGCGTGATACGGCAGCATTGAGAAATCTAAAGTGATACTATTTTGGTTCAAGATACATTACAGGGAACGGCTTTCCAGACATCAAATTAATATCATCATATAGACTTACTAGATGTGCGTTTAATGGATCAATAAATAATTGAAAAGCAGAATTGAGTACTTTATCTTGTATAATAATATGTTTTTCTTCAATATCTTCTAAATTCCATGGTTCACCACATCCGCCATATTTTGTTTTTGAAGTTATTAAATAAAGACCGGCAAGACCAAGATAAGCATTTTTAGCTGTGATATGAATTGCATGATCATGATACCAAGCGGTTGTTGGACGATTATTTGGATATACATATTCTTTTGTCTCGCCATAGCAAGTCTCATCTTCAGCCCATCCATCATATGGCGCCAGATTTGCTGAACCATGAAGATGAACACTAAATGGTCTTCCTGTTCTATTTTCAATACAGGGACTGAAGGTTCCGGGAAATAAGCTACCTATTTTATTGGTGAATCTTACGATAGATTCATGTCCTGAAGAAACACGAATTGTTGGACCTGGTACTTTACTATTGTAAGTTAAAAAGTTTGTTGCTGTTTTAGTGATGCACGCAGGTACACTTTCATCAAAGATTCTTAATGTGGTATCAATAACGTCAATGGTATAAGAAAACATACAATGCCCATCCGAACGGCATTCTTTAGATAACGGTGATAGAATGAGTGGATTTTCGAAAACAGTCTGAAATGGTTGCAAGATATATGGTGTTCCTGGGTATTTATTGACAGAATAATTTTTGTTATTCGCTGTAGGACAAATAACACTCAAATTTCCATATGGAGATGACGGAACTTGTGTATGTCAAAGGTGAAGATACACCAGAAATATAAGTGATAATAACCAACACATTTAAACGTAAAGGCAAACGAAAAACATATGTTTATATTCTTTAAATGCTAGAAAAAAATAAATATATTAATTTATATTCAGCCGTAGACGAAAGTCTGAGCCACTTCCCTAGTCTTCTATCATGCTTTTCGTATGAAAATGCATTGGAGTCAAATGAATATTAGTTGCGAGCATGACTTAAATAATATTGTGGTTAAGTTTGTTCTTGATTACGACCTGCTCCAATGAAGAATTTATGTTATGAAATAGAATCAATTAACACCATAAATAAGTTAGTTGGTCGAAAACTTTATGGCTGAGTTATCTCTCTTTTTAAGCATTTGATGACTGCTGTTATAATTGTTTACTTCATCTGTTTTGTAGCAGTTGACGATACTATATTTTTGGAGAAGCTTCGAGTCATTTAAGAAAACAGTTTAATTATTCCAACCAGTAAAATATTTCGCAAATACAAAAAGAAGAGATAACCGAGCAAGGGGGAAACAACTGATTTATGATTTTGTGAGTTAAGGTGAGTTAAGGCGATCTACGTGATCCAAAGTGATCTAAGACGATTTAAGATGATTTAAGATGATTTAGGTTGATCCATGATGATTTAAGATGATTTAGGATGATTCATGATGATTTAAGATGATTTAGGATGATTCATGAAGATTTAATATGACTTAATGTAATTTATCTGATTTAAAGTGAGTTTGTTCTCAAAGTAATTCAAGTAAATTTCTTGCATATATAAACTTCTAGAGATACTTTGTGATTGTTGTTTTTCTCAGAAAAAGCCGCTTAAATGTATTATGCTTGTNGGCTGAAGATCATCATGTATGCAAATTATGAAAAAGGATCCGTGCCATTACTATTAGTTTCAGAGCGAAGAAAAGGAAAAAGTATCATGATAAATAGTGCCATTTTCCTGTTTCATTTATATTTTTTTTGTCATAAGTTAACTAAGACATGCATTTTTGTACTGAAAATTTGATCACTAACTTATCTTTTTTGCATTATTTACTCTTAAATTTTTTAGCTAAATCTGGTTTTGTGCCCAATAAAGAGATAATATTTTATTTCCAATTTTTTATAGACATTTTTATTATTTACAAGGTCAAGCCCAATGAAGATTGCTATGGTCTTCTTTAATTCCATGCAGAGGAAACGAAAATTAAAATGAAAAAAACAGTTGTAGAATTTTTCTTTTCACAAATAACTAGAGAAGTATATAAAGAAAACAAGTGCTAAAGTTTATCAGCGCAACCCCTTTCCAGCTGAAATATGGAACTCACGCATGTACTTTCGAGTTGTTATCCTAATGCATTATTTCTAAACTGAAAAATAGTTTTCTTTTCGGATAATTATGAATGCATTAGAAAATTGTATAGGATCTGAATTGTGTACGGTTGCTGAGGTCTGGAATAATGGCCTGTCTGTAATGGGATGGGAGAAGGAGAGTCGGAAAACCTTGGCTTTAAAACTTACACTGACTATTTTCTTCGAAAATATACGTGAGTTCGACAATAAAATAAACGTTGCAGGGAAGGTATCGATTAATGTGTTATATGGGTGATATTTTTGAAAATAGGTGTATGAAAAAAAGCTTCAAAACCAAAAATAAAAACTTTTAAAACGGAGTAAGATACAACAAGAGTGTTCCGTTTCCTGCACTGTAATGAATGATACTATTTTTGACGACAATGCGTAATATTTTGTTTGTTTGTGATAAAAGAATAAATAACAAGACTTCAGTTTTGTCTCGTTTGCAAGCAAAGTCAAGTTCAACTTTGAATCCATGAATCAATAGTCATATACACGATAATTCAGAAATTAAGTTTTAAAAGGCAAAAGAAATATTTAATAAGTTAAACGAGAGACGATAAACAAACTCCAGACCTTGTCTGTCACGGTTCGTGGGGAGGAAAGGGAGGTAGACCCAAATTTCTACCCCTACTGAGTTCAACATTCGTTTCAGATCTTATTTGACAAAATTTATTCTTCCATGAGGAAGCTTCAAGCTTTTAAGAAAGTCCGTGAGAAGATCGAGTACCGTGGTAGATATCGAAGTACTGGATAAAATCTTGATTTTTGTTTTTATGTTCTCATTTTTTTTCAGCATCATCTGAAACCTTTAAATCAAAAATTTTAGAGCATTTGGTTGAGCTATTGAAAAGTTAGCTCGATTGCACCTGTCAAAGGGGGCAGGGGGGGAAGAGTTCTGATTGAGGAAAACCATAAAAAGTCCTGCATAGAAAGTTAAGATTCTTTTAGCTGACAATAATTTAATGAAATTTTTCGTGTAATATACCAAAAGATACAGCTTCGAACGCTGAACAAAATCATCTTTTAATATGTTAGGTTTCCATGGACTGATCGAGACTTATCTATGAAATACTATCTGACTCACTATTTTCGAGTGGAAAAATGATTCGGTTTCTGTACAATATATTACACTGTATCAGCTCCCATTTAGTCATTTTAAGAGATCCCACGTTGAATTTTTTACATGTTGTACAACTCTTTTTCCTCTGCAAAACGGTTATAAAAAAATTAAAAAATTTCGAACGAAGGTCAAAAATGGCTTACAAGGTTGATCAACTAGACAATGTCTATGAGGAAAAATTATTATAAATATTTTTCTGGAAGAAAAACAAAAGTTTAAGAAGACTATGACGTATCTAAAGTATTTTTTACACAATTACAATATATTTCAATGGACATATAGTCTCTATAAACTGTTGAATTGTCATTTATTTTAATTTATGGAGGTAAAATGGGTTAGCGTTAGCTAATCTTATATAAGCATCATGTTATGCAAAAGAGCTGAAAACACTTTACAAGCCGATTAACATTCATTTATACTTTCCTGGAAGTTTAAGTATTATTCAAATAGTTGTACACTTACTTCATACAAGACGCAGGATTGTTGGCCATGTTTAAGGAAAACCTTATCCGTGTTTCTCCTCTTTGGTACGTTGAACTCATTCTGCTTGAAGTGAAGGGACATTATTCAGAAAATCCGTGTCCATTGGTATGTTCATACAGGGATAATTTGGTAAACCCATACCCATTTACTTAAAATGACTAAGACCTAATCCGGTAAACCTGGTTCTGTTTTATATTTTATTTGCTTCTCCTTAATGTTAGAGCGGCGGTTGCAGCTGGGGAATTCATCAAAGATATGATGCAAGTGCCACTTCAGCATTCATACTAAAGCTTTCTAGCATTTCGATCTCTTGTGGAGCAATTTTAATATCTTGAAAATCTTGGTCTAATGTTTCAAATTCTGAGTCAATTTCCTCGTTCTCAGTATCATTGCTAAATAGTATTTTTGATGGATTTCTCTTCGATGACGATTTTACTACTTGACAAATTTTGAGTGGCAATCCCCTGTTGTTAGCGTTTTAGTTGACAGAAAAATGAGCAAACTTGATTTTCATTTTAAACTTCGACAATCGAAAAGTATAACTTGGCGTTTTCTTTCACGGTCTCCACATTTAACACAAACTGTTTGGGTTTCCCATGTTTCACACTGGGAACGCCTTCATGAAAATTTTTTTGGAGGTACCCACGCTGTTTGTCTGAAAAATGTGTGTTCGGTTTACGTATGAGCAAAGCCCAAACTTGAGGTAGAGAATTCGTTTCAGGTGTGGGTGTCTTTGCATAATGAGGGCATCCACACAAACACCCAAACCCACACCCGCACCTCACACTCACACCCCACACCCAGACCTCACACTCATACCCACACCTAAACCTCACACCCACCGATGTCTGTTTTGTTCTAAATTGACAACACCTTCTTGATGTTTAAATTGTTGCAGAACAAATCGTTTTAAAATATTTAAGACACTTTTAATGGAATTTGACAAGACATCCACCGCCGACGGCTATTATGATCGAACCAAGACTATTTGTAGACAAATTGGGGCTGTAAGTTTTTGCAAAAAAGGTTTATAGTCATATGGTCTCTTTTGGCAATTTAGATGGACTGGCTTTTAGCACTGATAAGACTTGCACCCATTACTTATCTCAACCCAGTTATTCATAAGACACACCAAAAAGCCAAATTATATCTTCATCGCACATCTTTAGATATTCAAAATATGATTCCGATTGACGTCATTGCAAATGGCAATTGTCTCTATAACTCTATCAAATGTTTCACTGAGGATGCAATTTTAACATCTTGCGAAATGAGAGGTAGGTACTTTCAACTTTACTATTCAGTTATCTTAATATAATCTTTTTAGTTTAAACCAGAGATGTGCGGAGCATTCATTTTTCATGCCCCGCGGGACTCGCTTCGTAAAATTCGCAAACCCGTCATGCCCGAACGCCGTGGATATTATTTATGAGAATCCGAAGAAATTTTGTATTTACCAGATGCTTTATTTTTAATAATACATTCCTTTTATAAATAATCACTTTTTACAAAAAGAAACTTAAGTGGAATCTATGTATGGGTCTTCAAATAAGCTGCAGCCGATCGAATAAGTATCATATCATTAACTGTAGATGGATTGATATTGATTTTTCTCTGTAATACGACAATACCGGCTGAACTGAATGCGCGTTCTACCGCAGCTAAAGAGGCAGGAATGAAAAAAATTTGTTTTGCTAATCGTGGTATATTGGGTAGTACATGTTCTTGTTCTTTCCAGAACAACAATGTATTGTCAATATCATCATTTAAACATTTACAATTAGTTAAATTCAGTTGTAAATAGATTTCTAATTCATGACGAGCACGTTTTGCAATTGTCATATTACTACTTGTTTCACCTAAATCTGTGTCATCGTGAAATTGTGTTGTTTAGGACTTCAACTTTTTGCGAGGTGATAGTGCTGAACTAATAGTTGCCGGAGATAATACTTCTTCATTATTATCAATCTGTGCCATTTCCATAAGTTTAGCTACTCTAGCTCGCACTAGACAATATGCACGTGCACGTTCAACATAAGTAGCGTGTTTAAGCATTCTTGTATGTGGATTGAGTATTGCAGCGATCCAATGTAGATCGTGCAAAGAGAACATTGCTTTTAATAATTGTCGTGCATGTCTTTTAAAAAAGACAACACCTGCAAAAAAAATAGATTTTTACTCACTTGTTTTTTAAAGAATGATTTATCTTGGGCTGCTTTATCAGCTACTTCATCCTTCGTCACTACCAGACTTTCGAGAAGATACCAGTAAGATGTAACTACTAGATGGAGAGATTGTGTATTAGTCGCTTGTAAACGTTCGATCACCTCTTTCCATGGTAAGAATAAACCAATAATAGTAGCTACAGTTGATACATCAACTGTAGGAAGAGTGTGAAGGGCACCCTTCTCACTTGCAATACTTGTTAAAGTGCGTGTCGATCGAACATGGATATGAAGTTCATCTGGAGTGGTAATGGCGCTAAAGCATTAGTTTACTATATAACTGATTATGTACCACAGTCTACTCTGACTTCCACGATATGTTTGCACTGACACAACAAGGTATCAAGTCTATTGAGCAGGAGCGAACTTCTAGTACCACAGATAATATTGTTGACAAATCGCGTAAACTAGAGTTACGCTGCTTTAATATGATTGCTTCACAACAAGAAGTTTCAGGTGTTCAAGTTGCATCATATCTAATAAACTATGGTGACCACTACACTACACATACATTGAAAACTTTTTTCTCATTTCAATCGAAAATTATCTTTAAAGAGAGCTAAATAAGGCACGAATTAACGAAGAAAAATTAGCCGAAGAGAAAATTTATGGTAAAACCTTTTAAAATAATTGTATAGATTTTTAGTGTGGCTTTCTAGAGATTTCATCGCCTTTCTACGATGAACAAGGAGAGGATAAAAATGAAATTGAAGAACAATTTTTATTACAACCATCAAACTCCAACAACGGGGATCCGTATGTCTTAGTCAATACTCGTCTTGACTATCAGCACCGATCAAAGGATCTGAGTGCATTATGCTTATATGACTTTATAAGCCATTTTCACAAGAAGGTTATCTACAAATCGGATCGTCATTTGCTAAAGAATGTAACCAATTCTCAAGGCCAACAATGATCTGAGCAAGGAATGAAAATGAATGAACGTCGTACATTTGACAGCGTACATCCATAATCAACATCTCATCTCATAATTAAACGTTCTATTCCAGTAGTACAAGTGCTGATAGGTCCTCAAATACCGCGCCGCGAACGAGAAGAAACGCATGAACGGTATTGTCGTGCATTATTAACATTATTCGTTCCATGGAGATCAGTTCAGGGCCTTTGTGCAGTGAATGAGACATGGTCAAAAGCATTGGAAGCTCGAAGATTATTGATCTCTTCCAACTCGCTTAAGATTATAGAAAATATAGAACTTTTGCACGAATGCAAACACGATCGATATGAGCACCTTCATCAAGTTCTTTTAAAGGTCCAAAATGAAAACAGCATCGACCCTATTTTGATGCCTAACTACTAAAAAGGTGATGCAAATGCAGACGAGAATGATCCGGAACAACTTTTGCAAATATCCTCCTCCGTAAATGAGACCACCACAAACGCTTACTCTGCATTGATTGTTACTCACGAACAACGCTATGTTAATGATGCATTACAAGCAATTGATAATACAGATAGATTTGCACTACTCAATGGTGAGTTAATTACTGCCATATTTCGAAAATATTTTGTTTGATTTAGGCCATACACGTTCTCCGAGTGAAAATGATTATGGTGCCATACACCATGTCCACATCTTTGTCGTAGCTCGCGAGCATCATAGGACCATGATTAAAGAATGGAAGCGTGATATTGAAGCCCGACAAGATGAATCAAGAAACTATCTAATTTCAGGCGAAGATACTCTGGAAGTACGAGATGATGAAACACAGACTGAAGTCGTAGGTGCTGAAATTCCAACAAGCCCAATTAAAACGAAAGTTGCAACAGTCCCGCCTGTGACTGCAACTCATGCGACTTTATTTCCCACAAAACAGGATATCGCCAAACAATTTACACTAAATATACAGCAAAAATATGCTTTTATGATTGTTACTAGTCACTTAGATGGTGAACATTATGCTTATACCGGTATGTTATCTCGATTTTGTTGTTGTAAGATTTAGTTAGTCTTGATATTGAGGTACTATCGATAATCGGTTATTGATGCGTATACCTGACTATGGTGGCACTGGAAAATTTCAGTTGATTCGTGCAATCACCAAGTATTTCCAACTAACAAAACGGGTCAAGATATTGCGTAAACTGGCGCCAACGTCTATAGCAGCAGTTGAGATTGATGGATTAAATATCCATTCATTTCTAGGTGAAAGCCGCAAAAATGGTAAAAAGAAACAAACCCGTACATTTAGACCTGGTGATATGAAATTAGAAAATGAATGGCGTCATGTGAAGTACTTAATAATCGATGAGATGAGCATGGTAGGGCTTAGTTTCTTAGCTTGTCTAAATCGTATAGTGAAAACAGCCAAGCACGTACATTCTGAGATACCTTGTGGTGGTGTCAATGTCATTTTCTTCGGCGACTACCTTCAATATTCTCCTGTTTTGGACAAACCTCTCTACTGTAGCTGCGCACCGACACAGCAAGTTACAGAACATCAGATAGATATGTTGTGTGCACAGAAGCTAATGTTCGAAATAAACTGCGCTGTTGAATTAACTCAGTAAATGCGAACCGAAGACATAAGATACTTGGAGCTTTTAAATAGATTAAGACATGGGCAATCGACAATAGAAGATTATCAACTTCTGTGTACGAGAGTCATAGGAAATCCAAAACTCCAAGTATCTCTACAACAAAAGCCATGGAACGAAGTATGCACACTCATTTTCTCTGTGTATCACATTACTTTTCTTTTAATAGACTCCAATACTGGTTTTTCGGAATACGCTACGCACCCAAATTAACAATAGGGCTGTCTTAAACAAAACAATGGAAATGGTACTTACCCCAATTGTATGTATTGCTCAAGGTTATATTCAAGGAAAACCTGTGGATGATCTACGAGTACGTAAGGCGATACTTGAATTACCTGACAATAAAACCGAACATCTTCCAGGCTATTTACCTCTCGTACCAGGAATGCCAGTTTTACTCACAGAAAATGTCGCTACCGAGCTCGGACTCTCTAAAGGTACACGAGGAATCTTTCATCAACTTGTATACGATAAACCACCAGAAGGTGATCGATACCACGATAAGAATTTTCCATCAAATACCAAGTTTATAACGCAACCAAAGTACGCTTTAGTAGAATTTTCCGGTTGCAAACTTGATGGCAAACTTGCTAAACTGCAGTCCAAAATAGTTCCTATAGCTGTTAGTAAACAAATATTCTTGTTTTACGCCAAGGAACTTCTTCCAGACAATGTAGCAAAAGCGGCCAAAATAAACAAGAAAACAACAAAACTCACGGTCAAACGTAAAGCACTTCCGCTTATACCGGCATATAGCATGACAACACGTAAAAGCCAAGGTCAAACACTCGGTAAAATTATTGTCGATTTGGTCATGCTTCCTGGCCCACTCGAAGTAACATCGCCTTATGTGTCATTATCTCGTGTAAAGAGACTTGAGGATTTACTTATCATACGTCCATTTGACTTTGCAACACTCCAAATTAAACCATCAATGGCCCAAATAGAAGTATTTAAAAGATTAGATAGAATAGCACAAAATACTCGCAGACGCTTTCAATTCATTGTTTAAAATAACAACATTTTAAGAATGCCGTGATGTTCAGAGAAACCATCTAACTCATCAAAAAACTCCATATTGCACGTTCGAAATCTGTTCGTTTTACTATTCTATCGCATAGATCATTTGTAAAACTTGTACGAAACTGTATTTCAAATAAAAGCCATAAAGATAAAAAGAAAATGAAAAGAACTTGAAGTATATAAACGAACTGTATCGATAGAAAGCCACTATCGTGATTGCATTTACCCAGCATCCCATGCAGCATTTCACAGTTATACACTACAACAAAAGCCACATTTGACACGCATCATATCAAACAACTTTCTTAAGTAAGGTTTTCAGAAAAGGCCAGTAATCACAATATAGTTTTCTTACCAACATCGCCGCTAACACTCGCAGTGCAATTTCATGGGATCTCATCGTGACAAACTACATCGAGAACTAAAGGCAACCGAACGACCCTCATTTCATTACATAAACTTCTATAAACAACTACGACAGCAGCATTAGCTGCCGCACACCATTAAAACTTCCAGTACATGCAACAGAATACTGCCTCAATAGGTTTTCAAACCATCCTCAAATCTAAACTTTCAGTTTCAAACACATACAAGGAGCGTATGGGTGCAGGATCAGTGTGGGCCTCGCTGTGGGCGTGCATAAGAACACCTTTCATTTAATTCCCAGTCCAAACACACACCCACACCCCAACCCATCCAAACGTACCGAACGTCCACACCCACACTGATCCTGCACCCATACGCTCCTTGTATGTGTTTGAAACTGAAAGTTTAGATTTGAGGATGGTTTGAAAACCTATTGAGGCAGTATTCTGTTGCATGTACTGGAAGTTTTAATGGTGTGCGGCAGCTAATGCTGCTGTCGTAGTTGTTTATAGAAGTTTATGTAATGAANTGACGAAGAATATTACTAACATCGTTGCTAAATGTTTTTCGCTTTTTCTCAATTGTTATTTTCGGAAAAGCGCATCCAAAACTGCTCTGTTATGGCTCGTCCAATTTCATAAATTTTCTTTTGTTTGAAAGAGCACATCAAGACGCAGGGCATGACGTTGTCCTTTTTTTAAAAAGTCCATTTTTAAGTTTAAAAAAGTTATCACAAGTTAAAGTACTCCAAAAATAGTCAAAAAATTGCAAAAAAAATAGGCAGCGACAGTCTATGGACCTAAAAAGGAACTTTTTTAAAAAAAGGACAACGTCATGCCCTACGTCTTGATGTACTCTTTCAGACAAAAAAATTTATGAAATTGGACGAGCCATAACAGAGCAGTTTTGGATGCGCTTTTCCGAAAATAACAATTGAGAAAAAGCGAAAAACATTTTTGGAATTTTCAAAAAACAGCTGGTTTTTTGAAAAGAGGTTTCCAGAAATCTTGAAAATTTTTAGGAAAAAAAGAAGTACGAAGGAAAAATTTTTAGCCTTTTAGAAAGAGCAGACTATGGGCTATCTCCCCATGCCTTTATCTCAATTTTGGTCATCCGGACGAAAATGGACTTTTTTTGAGGGGGGGAGGGGGTCTTAATGAAATTTTTCGTGTAATATACCAAAAGATACAGCTTCGAACGCTGAACAAAATCATCTTTTAATATGTTAGGTTTTCATGGACTAATCGAGAGTTATCTATGAAATACTGTCTGACTCACTATTTTCGAGTGGCAAAATGAGTCGATTTTTGAGCAATATATTACACTGTATCAGCTCCCATTTAGTCATTTTAAGAGATCTCACGCTGAATCTTTTACATGTTGTACAACTTTGTCCCTCTACAAGACGGTTATGAAAAAATTAATAAATTTCGAATGATGTCCAAAATGGCTTACAAGGTTGATCAACTAGACAGTGTCTATGAGGAAAAATTATTATGAATATTTTTCTGGAAAAAAAAAACAAAAGTTTAAGAAGACTATGATGTATCTAAAGTATTTTTTACACAAGTACAATATATTTCAATGAGCATATAGTCTCTATAAACTGTTGAATTGTCATTTATGTTAATTTATGAAGGTAAAATGGGTTAGCGTTAGCTAATCTTATATAAGCATCATGTTATGCAAAAGAGCTCAAAACACTTTACAAGCCGATTAACGTTCATTTATACTTTCCTGGAAGTTTAAGTATTATTCAAATAGTTGTACACTTACTTCATACAAGACGCAGGATTGTTGGCCTTGTTTAAGGAAAACCTTATCCGTGTTTCTCCTCTTTGGTACGTTGAGCCCATTCTGCGTGAAGAGGAGGGACATTATTCGGAAAATCCGTGTCCATTGGTATGTTCGTACAGGAATAATTTGGTAAACCCATACCCATTTACTTAAAATGACTTAGACCTAATCCGGTAAACCTGGTTCTGTTTTATATTTTATTTGCTTCTCCTTAATGTAAGAGGGGCGGTTGCAGCAGGGGAATTCATCAAAGATATGATGCAAGTGCCACTTCAGCATTCATACTAAAGCTTTCTAGCATTGCGATCTCTTATGGAGCAATTTTAATACCTTGAAAATCTTGGTCTAATGTTTCAAATTTTGAGTCAATTTCCTCGTTCTCAGTATCATTACTAAATAGTATTTTTGATGAATTTCTCTTCGATGACGATTTTACTACTTGACAAATTTTGAGTGGCAATCCCCTATCGTTAGCGTTTTAGTTGACAGAAAAATGAGCAAACTTGATTTTCATTTTAAACTTCGATAANGACCGTTAAGACCCAATGTCCCTTCCAAGGGACATTTTATACCTCCGTAAGAAAAAAAATTTTTTTCTTTTTCACTATAAATAATTCTTATTGGGGTCTTAGAACTTCTAGTTGAGTGGTTAGTTTTTTCAATTTGTGGCGATAAGGCCTTTCGGCTTTTAAGGGTTAAGAGTGTACTTATAAATATAAAATTCTAAATATTTACTAGCTTAATATTCTAGCATAATTTCATTGTATTGCTCTCTCAAGTTTTTCATTTGACAACAAATATCGATTGCACATTATTTTTGTCACAATGTTATTTGTCATTGGTACTTAGTACATCTTTTATCCAGTTCATAAAAATTGTACATATATTGCAAAAAGAGTTTTGATGTTTTCTCTAAGTGTTTTTTTTTTCAAATCAATTTTTGATTTCGTTGAAAGTTTTATCAATTTGATTGAGTTCATTAGAACGAAATGATGTGAACTATTTTTCTCTTTGCATTCGCTTTAAATTTTCTACTACATATTATATTTCATAAATTTGTAATCGTGTTCATTTGAATTCTTCTGCCGAATTGTCCCAGAGAATAGTGGAGCATTCGCCTAACTTGTTTATAGAAAATGTTCTCCGAACTCGTTTGTTGATTGTAATGACATCATGCCCCTAGTGATTCGCTCATAATGTATTAATTTAGTGTAAACTTCGTTACCATATGAGAACTATGATGTGATACTTGTGAGAATCAGCTACCACTTGCAGCGTAACCGCTACTTCACTACAATCCTCATTTCTCTAATGAACTACTCACGTCTACACCTATACTTTAGGTAATATCCTGACGAAGTATTCCTCGCTTCCCAATGGCCATTCGATAGGCATTTTGACGCGTGGATTTTAATTTCTTATGAGCATTAAAATTCTCAGTCGAGTTCTTGGATTTCCATTTTCAGATCGACTGGATGGGTGTAAAGAAAACATCTACACCCATACTCCACATCCGCGTTATTTAGTTGGTTTTCATCAGAAATGTCGACTGGTGTAGAATTTCGAGTAAATATATGCGTTTCAGTCAACAAAAATTTCTATTCGATCATTTAAACACATACATTTCGATACTCAGCATAGGGCTATTTTGATTATTTCAAAAAGAAATGGCATATCCTTTCACTTCTTTTTCGTGAGTTTCTTAGCATGATTTGGTAAATCTCGTCCAAATATATCGATTGGTGTGCAATCCAAAGTGGGCTGCCACCATTAGAGTAGAGCACTAACGTGAATGATATTCGTCGTGAGAGATCATTAATGGTATGCAATATGAATCATATCCTTATATAAGAAAAAGAAAGGAATAATCTTTTCTCATATGTTCATAAACATCATTCAATAGAGAACTGAAACAGCTTAATTTTACATATAGATCGGCTGAATATATGAACAAATGTATCCAATATTTTCCATGAAAATACTCAATAATCTAATCTTTTTGAGAAAATAAAACATGAATGAATCTTGGTTAGTTAAGACACTTAGTATACAATACAGGATTTCTTAAAAGGTCTGATTTTATCCTTTAAAGACTTCTGACAGTCAAAAGAACACAACAGGTTTTTCTTCAAGCTTTAAGATAATTGAAAAAGGAAGCAAAAAGTTTAGCCACCTCTCTCTTTGCTCATCTGCCAGACAATTGTGTATACAGCGAATTATAGATAGCAAATGATGTAAATAATTATGCGATCAATCGACAGGGTTCTTTAGAAACATGTTGATGCGTGCTGATAGAGTCTTCGTAGTGATGTGTGTTACTATGGCTGCTTTTCGCATTAGCCCTACTTTGATCAGCTGCTTGATAGAGACGTTAGTTTTTCGATTCACATGGACAACAAAAAAAAATCCCTGATTCCAGTAAAACGTACACATCTTTCAAGAAACGGCGATTCACGCTAAATCGTAGAAACGATTTTTTGTTTTTTATGAGATTCCAATGAAATCCGACCACCATCTAGTTATAAATGTTTTCGAAAGTGAAATTAAAAGACATGATTAGCTATGATCTGTTAAGCATTATCCTACTTATGGTACTTAAACGAAAACAATCGCACATTTTCCTTCATAGAAAAGTTACTATATGTAATATTTACCTAATAGCTTCTATCATTTTATCGATATCATATTATGTTAGTGAACTAAAACGAATAAGTGCCTGTTTGGAAGAAATACTGCTGTTAGACATACGATATTTCAAAGCTAAATAATATTTTACGTACATGTTGCTTAATTTGTAGAAATGATCGGATGCAGAATCAACAGAATTTCTAGACATTTTCCTACTTTTTTTTCGGAGAAAATAGAAGTAAAATATAAGAATGAATCGATATATAAGACGAATATAACCCTGGACACTCTGTACATTTTATCTCAACTACGTTCACCACTTTTAATCAAAAACTAATCTCCTTAGCAGATTTCGAAAACAATATTATGCTATTTGAAATGTCGATATGAATCAGCTTTATGTAATATCATGTACGATAAAAAGCATTCATTACTGGGTTTCTAAAGGATGATCCGAGCAAAAATTATCATAGACGTAGAATTTCTGAAGACTTCCTTCTACGAGATATAGAGGATTAGGGTTAAAAATGATCTGAAGATCTTCCCTCTCTCTGCAAACAGCTATAATTCATTTCTTTTCTTTGAAAAATATTATTTGCTTCGCTTAGAAGAAGCAAAACACTGAAATTAAGGAAAACAAATGTACACTGAGATTTGATCATAGTTTTAACACAAAAAACTTCAGCTGAACTAGTCGAAGCATCCGGGAGGAAAAGAAGGGAAAACTTCAATTATTCTATTGAAAAATTGACATTGAGGAGAACATGAAACAATGTACATTTATCGCTAAATTGACTTCTTCTCGAATTCTTTAACGTTTACAGATAATTTTTCGATCTCAAAATGTATTCAGTAGATAGATATTACTTCAGACTTTAGAATGACTAGAAAAATTTTGGATTACGAAAAATAGCAGTGCCGTTACTCAAACTCACATGTGAACTCTGCAGCTATTGAATTAACAGCTTCTATGAGACGCGATTAGGTCTACGACAGTTCAAACAGTTGTTTTAGATAGTTACAAGGATGAAATTGGCTCGGCTGCAACAAAAATAAAGTTTATCATTACCTATTTTCTTCTCATTGGTGTTTTTAATACAAGTTTTTTCTTTCTTTCTCTTTATTATCCATCTTGTTGAAAATAAAACCAATGTCAAGGTTGTGATAGAATTAGAAAGAAAAAAAAACAATCATTCATACATAGATAATACAGAGACAATATGGCGTTGAAATAATGCAAAAAAAAAGGAAAGAAACAAAAGAATTCGAATTAACGGCGATGTTTTGGTACATCAAATGAAAATCTTGGCTCTTCTTTTGTTAATTGAAGATAGTCTCTTGATGATGCTTCACGGCGTGTCCAATGCAAAACAATTTCTTGATCGGATGGACATGATTTAACAAATGCCTCTAGTTCATAAGCAGTACCTATATTTAAACAAATGAATAGAATCTTATTTAAGTAAATTAAACATACCAAGATAACCCCATAGAGCTGTAAATTCTACTGGAATAGATAAATTTAATATAAATTCAGCAGCAACACGAATATGTTGTAATTTTGGCCATAATGAACAATCAAGACCTGTTATTTGATCTCCTGATATATATTTTGTACCACGTGTTCGAAAAAAATTATCAATTTTTTCTAATTCATACATTAGTGTTTGTGGATTATTATGAACATCTTTAATTAAATATGTGAAACGTTTAAATACATTTGATTGTACTTTGAATGCATCAGGATCATGTAATGATAATTTATAATTTGGATAACATGAATCAAGATAGTCTTCAATATCATCAACATCACTTAAAACCATATCACCATGAACAAGCGTTGGTAATTTTTTTGATATTTCTTTAAATTCTTTTGGTGGATTTTTACAATTTATTGTTATAACATCAAAACTAAAATCATTATCAGCTTCACGTTTTATTAATAATTTAAGAAAGACATCTTGACAAAATGGACATGCACCTTTTGATCGACCATCTGTACCAGCTATAAATTAGAAAATATCACATGATTTTTGTTTTTTTCCGAGTTTCATTTTTTATTTTACCTTTAATAAATAAATGAAGCTTTTGGTCATCATCATCATTTAATAGAGTACGCTACAAGAGGAGAAAAATTTAAGATTAATAGCTATCCGAGATTGAACTACTCACAGGATCAAAATGTTCGTCTTCAACTTCATCGACCATCTCTTTTTCTATTTTACTATTATACTTGTTTATCTTACTAATATATATATATGCTATTTTTCTCTTTAGTTGGTATGCGTAAGAATGCGTATATGTGTTTGATACAGGTAGAAAAATTAAAGTCACATGGTGATAAAAAAAGCTGGATGATGTCGACAAACGACCGTCTTTCTTTTTTTCTCTGTCTTTTGTTCGATACTAAAAGACTCTCTTGATTGGCGTGTTTATGCTCGTGTATCCTATGCAAGATTCGAGAAAAAAAGGAAAAAAATAGGTGACATGTGAATGCTTTTTTTTTCTTATTTTGTTTTTTTTTTATTTGTCTATCTAACTAACACTAGATGAGTTTTCAATGAAGGAAAGAAAGAAAGAAAGAATATGTCTGTTCAACTTCAAACATGTGAATCGATTTACCTTTCAGAATAAAAGATTACGATCGAAAGAATGTGTTGTTCCAAAATAAGGACAACGACATTATTTTTATTTCAATACATATGTATATATTTAGTTGATATCTACTCACGGATGACGATGCTTGACTATACATTACGAGTAATATGATCAGCAATAAGACAAGTTTGAATATTTGTGTGATGTGAGAAAAAATTAATCGTAAGGCAAGCTAGTGGAAAAAAAGGAACAAGAATATTGTGTGGGCATGTAGAAATGACAGAGAGAGAGAGAGAGAGAGAGAGAAAAGGAAAAGAAAAACCAACAGGGCCCAAGGTACTGATGTCATTACTTATATATATAACAGAATCTATTTTTCTTATGAATCGAAAAAAAAATACAAAATAAAACATGATTATGCATACGATTATAGATATAAAACGACATATGATTACGATATATAGTCAATGTTTTGATGAAAAAATACAAAATGAATATGACACATACCGATATAGGACGATATTGATTTGAATGAAGAATTGGTCTTGGTAGTAGAATAACTTGCATGTTGTTTTTATTTCTTTTATTGATCAGTACAATTATAAAGTGAGAGCTTTTCGTTTTACTTCTCTATGTCTATCTATGCGTACACAAAATTAGATCTACACATACATGTGAACGAGTGCGTCGCGTCCATTGAACATAATGTCCTCATTCTGTTCTTTTTTTTGGCTATGCTATTTACACACGACTTCTCTCGTTTTTTTCTCTCTCTCTTGTATTGGAAGTGATTAGAACTCTCTTTTTCTATCTCTTTTTGCCCTCTGGCGATCATTTATTTGTAGGTGCTTCTTTCTTTCTCGTTCTGACCATCACTTATCTTGTCGATATATGTACACTATGATAATGATTGTACGGGGAGTTTATGTTCAATAGCTTCTTTTTTTTTTTTTTTTGAAAAGAAATACCTACAATAACGAATACTTAATTTCATAGTACGAAAGGATTTAATTTAGCCTTTATAGACTATCTTACTACATAAGAATTTGTTTATCTTCGTAATTAAATATCATAACAAGAACACATCATGTGAAAGTTTGACTGAATAATATACCTTGTATATATGTATACATTTGAACAATGAATGAACAAACGAATTTATCTGACCACTTGGGCATGTTCATACACAAGAATAGATAATTCAACCTGTCGATTTTATCGCTTAATTTGAGTTGAATGTATACTCGATTCATTCGAACAACTTGTCACTATTATTGATTAAAAAAAAAAAATTTTTATTCGTATCGATTTATAGATGAAAAAAATGAAAAAAAAAAACCTTCATGTTAACATGATAATTAAAATGTTATAATATTTCAATGACAATATTCTTTGTTATTGAATGTAAAACAAACGATTTATTTGGTTGGAATGAAGTATAAGTACTTTGAGATTTTTTTATGTTTATGAATTTAGCTGCAGCATTGAATTAAACGGATGTATATACTTGAGTGCTATTGATTACAACCATACCATAAAATATATTGAATAATGTTTCTCATATTGATCTACTAACGTTTTTATTTTACAGAATGATCTATTTTTAATCTTCCATAGTATTGTTCTATAGTAGATTCATTTCTTATTAATTCTTCACGATGTATAGCTTCTAGACTGTATATATTACAAAAATGACTCAATCGCTTTAGATTCTTGAGTAGTAAATTTTCATGATTCAGCGGTAAAAAAAAAAGTGCACGTGACTCAAGGAAAACTATGATTTAGTAATTTTAACCAGAAACATAAACACATTGAGTTGGGATTGATACGGTTTTTACATTTATTCGTGTTCTATCGGGTAAGATCATGTATAGTTGTTGTCATATTCCTGTGAACATCCTTTCACAACTCGTCACATTAATTATCTTCAATCTAGAACACATTGTGAATGTAAAATAATTTACTCAAAGAATAGATAAGAAATGAATTATAGTATTTGACCTAGAACATAGTGATGTTGATCAAAAAAAAAAACAGACAAATTTCTCTATGAATGTTCACATTTACTACATAATGTTCTTTTTTATTTCTTAGATATTAACATTTCACAATGAATACGACACTGTCATCACATACAAACATTGTTAAAATTTCGAGGTCATTTATGGTTACAATACAAAAACTATCTGATAACCGACCACCAAGAAAGCTGTAACAATAATAAATTTTTGTTTGAATAAGATAAAATAAAATTTTATCAGATCTGTTTATTATATTCTATTTGCAAAAGAAGACTACGTTCTGAAGGACTCTGTTTTGAACTATATAAGTGGCGTTATTTGAACTCTTTTCGATAATAGCACTGAGAGAAAAACAGTGGAAAGTTTGAATGAGAAATCTTATGAAATTTTTTGAAGAGATTCTAAAGCCTTTAAGTTTACTGTTTTGACTTTGAGAAGCCTACATTCACTATTCATCATATTTAGTATAATATGAAATTGAATTCATGTCAATTTTATATCTCGTGAAAAAAATTAAATAGATTTGAGAACCTATAGTAATTTTATTCTATGATATTTCAGCGTTTACAACTCAAACGTCATCGTCAGACTCTTAATACTAATCATTAAATGTATATGTGATTATTTATTTATTTATTTATTCACTTTAAAATCAAATATACAATTTTTGTATTAAAATTACATGTCTTATAGCATTACTTATAATACGATTATATAATTACTAAATTGAATAAGATCAAAAAATAAACATCAACGCTAAAATCTTTCAGTAAAAATAAATTTTATTAGAAACAAAAGAAAAATTTTATTTGTAGATCTTGTTTTTCAATTCATCTTTGATGATAATGTTTGAGTTATAAACGTCGAAAATCACAGAATAAAATCATTCTAGATTCTCAAAATAAATAAATGATTCATCTTACAATCTTTAGCTGCAATTTCTCTTAATCAAGTTTTCCTTTTTAAAGTTATGAAAAAATTTAAAAAAAAAAAACAATTCGATGATTTTAAACGTATAAATGTTCTCTTTAATAAATCCTTTATTAATTATAAATCATCCATCATCATCCATTACTTGACGTGCCAACGTGCGCTTTTCTTTCCTTTTCAGCATGATTCTATATACAGAATAGTTTTTTGGTATATGTTTATTAATTTTGAAGAAAAAGGAGATCTTGCCTGCAGGAAAAATGTCCCAAAGAAGAAGAATGATTACAATAAAAAATAAGAATCAAGCCAAAGATAAAATGCTATTAACGCAAACCATACGACATTAAAATGTGAAACACGACGTAGTTGCTGTTGCTAATCACAGGGAGATTGTTTTATTCTATCTATTTTGGAATATCGATGAGAAGGAGAGGGGCGAACTCAAATTTTTATCTCTATACTTCAGCATTTCTTTTAAATCGTATATCAAAAAATTAATGCTATTTAACAACAATATGCTTATGTTATATACATAAGTAATTCTGAATGACTTATTTGAACTATTCGTTTATATGGAAGCAAAGATATGAAGTTTATCGTGAATGATTGAACTTGTCTAAACAATAAAAAGTTTTCTCTCTGCGAATATTTGCTTTTATTAAAACAAAAATAAGAATTTCCTTATGTTTGATTGCACTCATGTCATTCATCAACAATACTATTATCGTTTTTCAACTGTTACAAATTGAAAATAATCCAGTTTGACGTGGAAATTTTATCTATGCAAAATTTTAAGTCAAAAATCAGTTTTTCCATTATTCTTGAAGTTGGTAGGGCATAGTTTTGATCTAAAGCAATACCACAAAAATGCAGCATATCAGTAACAATATGTTAACAGCGCACGCTCTTCTTCGGCTATCCATAACTCATTACAGTCTACATAATGTACAGTACTCCGACCCCAAAAGCGATTTATCAATTAGGGAGCTTCTCTTATTACTACTAGATCCATCATTATGTAATTCAATTTTGTTATAATCATTTGTGTGTTGTTGTCAGTATTCAATTTCATTTTACTAGAAATACATTCATGAATCTGGGTCTATGTATTGCAGTTTCAATCCAAAAAATAATCGGACACTTGAGGACGTTTAATCGTCAGATGATCAGGCTGCATCTAACAGACGGAGATAACAACAGATTTTATTGGGTATGATTTCAATCGACGGAAGTACTCAGTTCCACACCCTCTTTGACTGCATCACTAATTTAAACTAACACAAAAATTCAAAACATGTTTAAATAATCATTGAAAACATTTTTTTTTCTATCAAAGCACAAACACATGAAAAAAAAGTATCTCAACAGCAAGTTTCATAATCATAAAGTAAACACACTTCATTCTATACATCAATAAACTGTGTTTTCATCAATCAAACCTTTTTATGTTACTGCATTAAAATTGTATTGTTTTTTTTTTATTGTCGACACTCACATGATATAATGACTGTAGTCATTTTGTATGAAGTGTATCACAGCAACAATTATGCACACATGACAGAATGATTCAGATACCAACAATCATTTCAAATCTTACTACATTGAAAATTTCTTATTAACACACTATTACACATGGCGTAAGTAAATTTCTTTTTCATCGTTTCCTTGTTGTTATGGATATTTAAAATTCGATCTGTGTATTTTGTATGTTTTTGTTTTAAGTTCAATAAAAACACAACCGACTGGAGATAAATGGGCATTTGAGAATAATTGGGATACAGAATTATGTCATTGTCGTGATGATTTAGGAACATGTATGAAGAGAAGAAAAAAAACAACAAAGAAGAAATTATAAATAAATTTTTTTTCATCGATTTAGGTTGCTTTGCATATTGGTGTTGTCCTTGTTTTATATGTCAATTACATACACGTACAAGAGCATGTTTATGTACATGGTGTTTGCCCGGGGGTATATTGAATAAATCTAAAAATGAAAATTTTTATTGATTATTATTTTATTCGTAGGTAGTACTGCATTTAGAACCAAAATTCGAACAGGCTTCAGAATTCAGGTATGGATATTTGAACTAATCTTTTAGAGTTAAAAAAAAAATGAAACTACTTGTTTTTCCTTATTTTCCTAGGGCACAATATGTGGTGATGCATGTGTTATGTGTTTTTGTCCTTGTTGCGCTGTTCTACAAATCTATAATGAATTAGAGCATCAAGAACTTTAATAAATCTACGAATGTTTTGATTTTTTAGAAACAAACAAACAAAGGAGAAAAAGTATTTCTATGTAGATCAGCTTGTGTAAAGATGAATTTTGTATTCAATATTTTTTTTTTCTTTTTAATTATGAATGTGATATATAGGTAAAAAAAATATAGACATGTCAATCAATGATCAATACTAAGAAAATATTATTTTTACATAATAAAACGAATATCTTCTATAGCATTTAATAAAATTTGTATGAGTAATATTGTTGACTTAATCAAGCATAGAGTCAATAGCGATTGAAAGATGAGAGTAGTTTATTGTTAAAGTTTTTATGTCTTCTGATTGTATAAAAGACACACTTTCACCATAGTTGTATCTCGAGATAGGAACAACTATAAGATCTGAAACATTCATAAGAAACTATTCTCGTTAAGGACTGTCTCTTTGTAAAGTTTCAAATCGAAATTCAAGCATAGAATAACAGTGAATGCATGATAAAACTATGATGATCTTAGAGTTGTTTCGACTTTTCCGATTGGGTGACTTCTATTTCAAGAAAATAGTTGTATTTTGTAAAATATGAGTAAACCATGGGAACTAAGTCTTTTTCGAACAAGAAAATCGAACTCGAGAATTTCCATAAACTTTTTATAGATTCGAGTTTCTAGTTTCAAACACCTTTAGTCTATTTTTTACAAAAAATTAAACTATTTTCTTGATATGACCTTCCCCACCGAAAAAAACCAAAAATCAATCCAAGATCACTATAGTTTTGCATGCATTCACTATCACCGTTGCATCCCTAATTTAGAGATCGACAAGTTTAGTTCTAGTTCGGATCTATTCACACTAGTTTTGTTCTGTTACTCAAATACTATTCCTGAAACAGAACAACATTTTTCGAACAGGTCCTTCGCTTATGTGATCTAAACTGAGATCTCATGGATCCCTTTTGATGATGATGATCTAGACTTTATTGCTATTACATTTGGTATGCATTTGATTGTATTTATGTTTTTGTTGATTTTTAAAGATTTTTTCAGGATTAATGCACGATGGAAAAATTCCTGGAATTATGTCGTTTTATTTTTCATTGGTTAAAGCATACTTTGGAAATCTTAAGAATATCTATTACTTCTTTTGTTTTCTGAATATGAAGCAAAGATTCGAACAGATCGAAATGATTGCTGCACAGATTTTTTTATAACCTAATCATGTTCATTCCGTTGGATAATGCTAACATTGAAACAACGAATATAATAAAAAGAAAACCCACGCCCTAAAACTACGTAATTCAGTCACTTGATTTGGAATAGTCACATTTCTAACTGCGTAGTAGCAACAAATCTTAAACGAAAAAAAAAAAATTTGTCCTTTATAAAATCAAGTACAAGAAATATTCTATTATAAAAAGAAAAAGCTTTATGATATTGTGTTTTTTTTTCGATTAATAACATCTGTGACTATTCAACATTGGTAATGAATGTCTCAGCTGTTCTATTCTAGGAAGGAAATAAAACAAAGTGCAAGATAACGATGCGAATCATTTTCAGCAATGCCATCTAAATCAACACATTTCGTTAGTTATAAACAACGACATTGTACGGATATATTTTGTCTTATTTTATTCATTATTTTTATTTTTATTTATGGATTTATATCTTTATTAACAATAAGTCAAGGTAATCCAATAAGTTTAATTCAACCAAGTGATTCATTAGGTAATATATGTGGACAAGATGAATTCAAATCTAAACCATATCAAATTTATTTTGATATAAGTAAATGTTTAACTGATGGTGGTCTTGGATTTCTTTGTCCAACAACAAAATTATGTGTTAGTTCATGTCCAAAACATTATTCACATTATCAATCATTACAAACAATTGAAAATGCTGGTTATTTACCAAAAAATTATACACGTCGACAACTGATATGTATGTATGGTTTTAATCCAATAACTGATAGTCGAACAATAATTGAATTAGTTAATAATGGTCTTTGTGCACCCTATACAATAGAATCAGAACCATTTCTTGGTCGATGTTTACCAGCAATGTTTATAAACTTATTTGATTATGAAAATCATCAAACATCACAAGCAAATGTATCCATTACAGATATCAATACTCATATGTTCGGTATTGATAGTATATCTGATGTTGGTCGAGTAATATTGGCTGATCTTGATCAAATTAAAGAAAGTTTAGCCTTATTTATCCTGGTAGCTTGTGTACTTACTTTGCTCTATATGTTTGCTGTAAAACAATTAACTCGTTTAATTGTGACTCTAACAATTATTTTATTTCTTGTAATATTATTTATTTGCAGTTCATTTTGCTGGTATACAATTTATACTGGACAAGATCTTGTTTATGAATATAGTACAGTTGCAAGAATTGTTAATGATTTTATTAAATTACGAACAATTTATATGATATTTGGTTGTATAACAACATTTATATTCCTTCTTAGTTTATTCGTTATATGTACTTTATTTGATCGTGTACGATTGAGTATAATATTAATAGATCAAGGAACAAATGCTGTTTTTTCTGTTTTAAGTACAATTATTTGGTCACCATTAATAATTATAATATATTTTCTTTTAATATTACTTATTATTTATATTGAAATGTGTTTATCAACAGTTGGTAAACCAATATTTCGTTTAATTGACAATAATCAAACAATACCTTGTTTACCAAATATAAATTCAACAGAATGTCTATTTCAACAAGAATATGGTTATGATTCATTAATATTAAATGATACAGATCCTATAACACGTAGTATTATTGAATTTCTTGTTGATAATAAACAATATCTTAAATGGTTTAATTTATTTGCTTTTTTATGGTTTAGTGCATTTTTATTTGCATTTGAAGAAATTGTTTTAGCTGGAGTTTTTTCAAATTATTATTGGTCAAAAGAACGTTTAACAACATTATATCCACTTATTTATTCAATATGTATTATTATACGATATCATTTAGGTTCAATTGCATTTGGTTCATTACTTATTTCAACATTAAGATTTATACGTATAATACTTGATTATATAAGTCAAAAATGTTCAAATATTCAACGGAATATTGTTATTGAATTTATTGCAAAATGTTTTTCATGTTTTTTATGGTTATTTGAAAAATTTCTTAAATTTCTTAATAAGAATTCTTATGTATTAATTGCATCACATGGTTATTCATTTTGTAAAGCAACACGTAAAGCATTTATTTATATAATTAGTAATTGTCTTCGATTTGCAATTCTTATTCATTTAACTGAATGGATTCTATTTTGTGGTATAATTAGTATATGTACTTGTAATGCATATTTATTTTATCAATATCTTCAATGGACAGATGAATATGATCAACTTATTCTTCGTTGGATACCAATTGTTGTTATTCTATTAATTACTTATCTTATCACAAGTCTTTTCTTTAGTGTTTATGATATGGCAATAAAAACATTATTTGTATGTTTTCTTCAAGATTTAGATGAAAATGATGGTTCTATTCAACATCCATATGTAATGAATAATGAACTTTTAAGTTTAGTACATAAAACAAACATTGTTGAAAAAAAATGAAAACAAACCGACACACATGCACACATCTATGAATATTTTTTTTTTGTTAATTTATTAAAGAATATTAAGAAGAAACGTCAGCTAAAACAGGTTTTAATCGTAAATTAATTTTGACTTGTTTTGTGACTCGTCGTATAACAGGTAAAGAAACAATACAAGGAACAAATGTATGTG